GAGATACAAGTTTGAAGTGCAGTTTTTGAAGTGTTTTTTTCTTCAATTTATGCTTTGGCCACAAATACGAGTATAGGATGAGTCAACAATGTTATTTGGGTATGAGTTAACAATATATTAACTTTTAAAAGTGATATTGTCACTGGACAGTTACTTTAAAATGGCAACATTATCTCTCAGCCTCATGGTAAAATGTGTAGAATAGCATTATAAAACGTAAATGAGTCGAAATGCCGGAAGTTAGCTGTTTCCCCCCCAAAAAAATCTGGGGTTGGGGGGCCTTCCATTTATCCTTCCACGTATACTGTGTTTTCAAAATACCCCTCCATATACCCCTCATAGGACCCCACAAGAGAGTCATAATACTGTATGCCATGTCAAACTGTGTAGAATTGCAGGTAAAATGTAATATTTTGATCTGGGGGCTGAATTTCCCGTTAATGCCTACACCACAATTTTGCCCGTGTTTTAACCATTTAAAAGCACAGCTAAATTGAAATGGGTACACAATATCAGGTATTTTGTTTATTTATACAACAGATTAATGTGTTATAACTGTGCTTCATCTAATAGCAGAACCAAATGACCTGGATTGCAGTTGAGACTACATTAAAAGTACATGGTGCAAGTGATCAGTGCCATTCGAGATTCTGCGCAGAATATTACAGCAATTATGAAAATCTCCACAGACCTGCGACGGCCTTTGCATGCTATCTTGAACATGCACGCTTTATATATGATAAGAAGAAATGTATACAGTAACCTCAAAATGGGGTCATGAGATGTGTACTCATTTTAAAGGTATACTTCAGGATTTGGGTTTATCTTACTCTTCCCCAGAGTAAGATAAACCTGTGGATACCATTTTTATGTCTCAGCGTGCAGTTTGAAGGAAGTTCCTAACTAGCGTTAGCTCAATTGCTAACTAGCGTTAGCGCAATGACTGGAAGTATATGGTAACTGCTAGTGCAATGACTGGAAGTATATGGTAACTGCTAGCATGCTAGTAGATACCATAGACCTCCAGTCATTGCGCTAACACTCATTAGCATTGGCTCGCGAAACTACCTCTTAACTTCCTTCATACTGTATACAGACATAAAAATGGTATCCATGAGTTCATCTGACTCTCGGGAAGTAGATAAAGGGCTTCATTGCCCAAATCCCGAAGTATCCCTTTAAGGTTTAACTTTAGGCTATTTACTGTATAAAAAAAGTTATATCGAATTGTGTTGGTTGAGTTGGAGACGTGAATCCAACATATCATTTGTTAACTTGTCAACAAGTTAATACGCTATTTATTGTATTTCAAAAGGGATATTGAATTGTGTTTAGTTGTCAATGCAACCAAATATCAACATTTGAAGGAGATTTATCTTCTGCTTGGATGGTTCCATCTGTGCTACTGACTTAGTCTGGCTTTAATTCTAGTTTGTCTACAAATAAATAATTGATATGTTGGATTCACGTCTCCATCTCAACCAAAAATCTAAGTTAAAGAATAAGACTAAATCAAATAAAACTTTAAATGCACTTTAAATAAAGTTTGATTTGAATTAGTCCTATTCTTTAACTTCGATTGTTGGAGACGTGAATCCAACATATTAATTATTAGTGATGGAACTATTGAAGCAGAAGATACATCTCCTTCAAACGTTAATATTTGGTTGCGTTGACAACCGAGCACAATTCAATATCACTAAATATCATTACATTTGAAATAAACCAGAGCTTGAATCCCTAGGCCTATTGTTGTTTATTTTAAGTTTAATTCTGGGTTGAATTGAAACAATAGCTGTTGATGACTTTATAAATGCTACATAGGCCTAAATAGCATCATTGATGATATATATGAGTGACAAAGTATGGTCACATTTCATTTGCTCTGTTAAACCTACCCTTTGGAATGACAATTTAGTGAATCTATTTCGTTTTTGAGTGGAGCTCTCTCATCAATCATTCTAACGATAGCACATTAATAGTCAGTGACAAATATCAAAGCTAAGCAGGGCTGGGCTTGGTTAAGACCCTGGAAAGGAGACCAAATGGATAGCTGTAGATAGATCAACTTTCCAGTAGGAGGTGCTGCCCAGCCAATTTTCTTTCTTTCTGATAATGGATATAATGTTGAAGATCTGACATTGTTTAAAGGTACAAATTCAATATATTTTATGCAAGATTTCTTATGTGACATCTCTCGTTAGTCCAACCTTATACAGGACTGGTGGATATGTGTGCTTGTAGGATTCTGTGCACTCACTTTGCATCAGCTGTAAATACACACACCACTATCAACCTATGCGATTTAAAACAAATACAGACAACATAACGATACAGGATGGAGCAGCTTGAAAACCTTTAGTATTACCAAGGAGGATTAACTGTGTTTTATACATTACGAGGCTCAATACTTCTCAAACCATTATGAGCAGCATCTCAAGGCACAACTGTCGTGATTGAAGACCCCTTTAATGCTGGCTGGTGTCCATCTTTTCATTTGGCGTAGAAGGCATTATGTCAACAGTTTAGTGTGTGTCTCTCTGCATTATATGTGGCTGTGCCAAAGATGCCTGAATGTCCAGTTGCAGGCTGTGATCACATTAGTATTCCAAGTCAGACACAGCCAATAGGCAGAGCTATGTGAGTCATCATTAACCCGTACCATTGAGATGGCAGTATCCGACCAGACCAGGAAGAAAAATAATGTAAGGTTATATATTGTGTCCTCTTCATAGTGTCCTCTTCTCCTGGAAGCAGCTCGGTAATGTATTCTAAACATGTTGTGTGTTTCCTCCACAGGGCTGGGGGAGGCCTGGGGCCAGCCTACCAGAATCAGCCCTTTGGACAACATGGCAAAAGAACTGGGCTCCCATCTACTGCAGGTGGGATATATTCAACACAGATACAGTGGGGAGAACAAGTATTTGATACACTGCCGATTTTGCAGGTTTTCCTACTTACAAAGCATGTAGAGGTCTGTAATTTTTATCATAGGTACACTTCAACTGTGAGAGACGGAATCTAAAACAAAAATCCAGACATTTTATTGCATGACATAAGTATTTGATACATCAGAAAAGCAGAACTTAATATTTGGTACAGAAACCTTTGTTTGCAATTACAGAGATCATACGTTTCCTGTAGTTCTTGACCAGGTTTGCACACACTGCAGCAGGGATTTTGGCCCACTCCTCCATACAGACCTTCTCCAGATCCTTCAGGTTTCGGGGCTGTCGCTGGGCAATACGGACTTTCAGCTCCCTCCAAAGAGTTTCTATTGGGTTCAGGTCTGGAGACTGGCTAGGCCACTCCAGGACCTTGAGATGCTTCTTACGGAGCCACTCCTTAGTTGCCCTGGCTGTGTGTTTCGGGTCGTTGTCATGCTGGAAGACCCAGCCACGACCCATCTTCAATGCTCTTACTGAGGGAAGGAGGTTATTGGCCAAGATCTCGCGATACATGGCCCCATCCATCCTCCCCTAAATACGGTGCAGTCGTCCTGTCCCCTTTGCAGAAAAGCATCCCCAAAGAATTATGTTTCCACCTCCATGCTTCACGGTTGGGATGGTGTTCTTGGGGTTGTACTCATCCTTCTTCTTCCTCCAAACACGGCGAGTGGAGTTTAGACCAAAAAGCTCTATTTTTGTCTCATCAGACCACATGACCTTCTCCCATTCCTCCTCTGGATCATCCAGGTGGTCATTGGCAAACTTCAGACGGGCCTGGGCATGCACTGGCTTGAGCAGGGGGACCTTGCGTGCACTGCAGGATTTTAATCCATGACGGCGTAGTGCGTTACTAATGGTTTTCTTTGAGACTGTGGTCCCAGCTCTCTTCAGGTCATTGACCAGGTCCTGCCATGTAGTTCTGGGCTGATCCCTCACCTTCCTCATGATCATTGATGCCCCACGAGGTGAGATCTTGCATGGAGCCCCAGACCGAGGGTGATTGACCGTCATTTTGAACTTCTTCCATTTTCTAATAATTGCGCCAACAGTTGTTGCCTTCTCACCAAGCTGCTTGCCTATTGTCCTGTAGCCCATCCCAGCCTTGTGCAGGTCTACAATTTTATCCCTGATGTCCTTACACAGCTCTCTGGTCTTGGCCATTGTGGAGAGGTTGGAGTCTGTTTGATTGAGTGTGTGGACAGGTGTCTTTTATACAGGTAACGAGTTCAAACAGGTGCAGTTAATACAGGTAATGAGTGGAGAACAGGAGGGCTTCTTAAAGAAAAACTAACAGGTCTGTGAGAGCTGGAATTGTTACTGGTTGGTAGGTGATCAAATACTTATGCCATGCAATAAAATGCAAATTAATTATTAAAAAATCATACAATGTGATTTTCTGAATTTTTTTTTTTGATTCCGTCTCTCACAGTTGAAGTGATAAAAATTACAGACCTCTACATGCTTTGTAAGTAGGAAAACCTGCAAAATCGGCAGTGTATCAAATACTTGTTCTCCCCACTGTATATGACCCAATATATACAACACAAATATGTAACACAATATTGCAGTACTATATATGCAACATAAATACAACACAATATTCTCATTAAGATTACATGCAACAATAATTGCACTACACAATATACAACATAAGTAAGTAGAAAACAAATCTATAGCAGTTAATACTACACAAATACAATGTACATATATATAGTGCAAAAATATACATAGAAAATATACAACATTACATCAGAGTGGTGCTTAGACGTGCGTAACAATATTATATGTATTTAGGAAAATTGTAGTGTTCTCAAGAGGAAATGTAATTGATTATTTTGATCAAATGCACTGTTTTAATGTTTTTGCTATGGAATTTGTAGGCTTTGCCAAGAATTTGTAGTGGATTTCATGCCATGAGTGTGGTTTTTGAAAGACTACAAAATAGTAGCCATAAAGGCATCATTAATCATACTCCCATATGCTGATTTATGCACAATGCAGTGTCTAATATCTACAATTCTAACTGACCTTCTATGCATGTTATTATGCAAAATGGATGGCATATTTTCGGGTCTAACACGTTTTGTTCCCCAGACTCTGGAAGGCTTCGTATTCGTCGTCGCTTCAGATGGCAAAATCATGTACATCTCTGAGACTGCATCAGTCCACCTCGGCCTATCCCAGGTAAGACATCACTCTGCCTCCATCTTGGTCCTGGGCCATTGCGTATGCCACAAGCTTTGTGTCTGCCTCCCTCAACACAACCAAGGTCAACTAAGGGGCAGCTGCCTCCTGATATGCCTGTTCAAACATTGATTTGACAGTCAGTAAAACAGACTGCAGAATGCTACGCAAAGGTTGCCTAAGTTCACCTAGCACAGATAATTGAGAGGGTATGGGGTGGTCACAGAATATGATCTGTCAGTCTATTCTAGGTGTTGTTGAGTTATTTTCCTTTGTGTGTGGGAGTAGGATTTGGGAGTATGATTTGTAGGGTGTCCACCCACTCTGCCGAGAGAGGGTGAAAACGCGCTTTGGTGATGACATTTCACTTCCTTATGTTATAAAATACATTTTACCAAGACAAATATGATTCTTCATGTTCTGAATCGTTCAGTGGGGTCTTTCTCTAACATATCATTAACATATCCCAAAAGTCGGATTCCATAATCTAATACATCCGGCAATAAGCACCAACCTCTGTTGACAGAGTGGTGCCACTTCTCGCAGTGCCTTTTGAGGATTTTACATGTTGTGGTGGTCTTCTGCAAAGTTGTTTCCGCAGGTAGCAAAAAGCACAATGTGATTTTCTGGATTTTTATTTTAGATTCCGTCTCTCACAGTTGAAGTGTACCTATGATAACAATTACAGACCTATACATGCTTTGTAAGTAGGAAAACCTGCAAAATCGGCAGTGTATCAAATACTTGTTCTCCCCATTGTATATATTGTTTTATGTCCTCCGGATTCGAGAAGAAAGATGACGAGTTCAACAGTGAGCCTGTCAGTTTGCCTTAATTCTCGCACAGCATCCAGCCTAGCTGACACAATGTTATTTTCCTGATTTTTGAGCACTTTTTTTCTCTGGCCTCCATTGATTTAGTCACCCTAATTCTGGCTATCCTACAAGGGTAAAAACTCCAATAACTTTTGAACAGATTATGATAGAGACATGAGGTTTGGACCATCAGTTTTTCTTAGAGGAGTATCTAAACAATGATACTGAACAAGAATATAAATGCAACATGTAACGTGTTGGTCCCATGTTTCATTAACTGATATAAAAGATCCCAGAAATGTTCCATACACACAAAAAGCTTATTTCTCTCAATTCTGGTGCACAAATTTGTTTACATCCCTGTTAGTGAGCATTTCTCCTTTGCCAAGATAATCCATCCACCTGACAGGTGTGGCATATCAAGAAGCTGATTAAACAGCATGATCATTATACAGGTGCACCTTGTGCTGGGGACAATAAAAGGCCACTCTAAAATGTGCAGTTTTGTCACACAACAGAATGCCACAGATGTCTCAAGTTTTGAGGGAGCGTGCAATTGGCATGCTGAATGCAGGAATGTCCACCAGAGGTTTTTGCCAGAGAATGTTAATTTCTCTACCATAAGCCGCCTCCAATATCGTTTTAGAGAATTTGGCAGTATGTCCAACTGGCCTCACAACCGCAGACAACGTGTAACCACGCCAGCCCAGGACCTCCACATCCGGCTTCTTCACCTGCGGGATCGTCTGAGGCTAGCCACCCGGACAGCTGATGAAACTGAGGAGTATTTTTGTCTGTAATAAAGCCCTTTGTGGGAAAAACATATTCTGATTGGCAGGACCTGGCTCCCCAGTGGTTGGGCCTGGCTCCCAAGTGGGTGGGCCTATGCCCTCCCAGGTCCACCCATGGCTGTGCCCCTGCCCAGTCATGTGAAATCCATAGATTAGGGACTAATTTATTTATTTCAATTGACTGATTTCCTTCTATGAACTGTAACTCAGTAAAATCTTTGAAATTGTTGCATGTTGCGTTTATATTTTTGTTCAGTATAAAATATTATTTTACCCATTGGTCTAAAGATGCGTTTTTGATTGGACACCCTACAATTTGGGACGTGCGAAAACCTCCATCTTTTTATGCTGTGAGTGTAGCATTGGTGTATGACACAGCGAAAACAGTAGCTCATCCCATGCTAATATTTAAGGTTAGCTTAGCTAGCTATTGCTTCTCACTTGTCACTCTGGGGGGGGGGGGTGTTAGATAGATAGCACTGACGCCTGTTAGCTGTTGGAACTTCAGCTAGCCCGGTTGAAGACATTATTTTAGAACGGTCCGGTGTGTGTCCTCCTCCCTGCACCCTCTCTCAATGGAGCAACGTCATCATCAACTTTGCTGGACATCAAAGAAGATTTTTGTGTTTTGCATGTACGTTAGTGTCTGGCACATTGTGTGTGAGTGTGTGTGTGTATATGTGTATGTGTGTAAGTGCTCGTCGAACATTTCATTCCAAAATCATGGGCATTAATATGGGAAGGCTTTCCACTAGATGTTGGAACATTGCTGCGGGGACTTGCTTCCATTCAGCCACAAGATAATTAGTGAGGTCGGGCACTGAAGTTGGGCGATTAGGCCTGGCTCGCAGTCTGCGTTCCAATTCATCCCAAAGGTGTTCGATGGAGTTGAGGTCAGGGCTCTGTGCAGGCCAGTCAAGTTCTTCCTCACCGATCTTGACAAACCATTTCTGTATGGACCTCGCTTTGTGCATGGGGGCATTGTCATGCTGAAACAGGAAAGGGCCTTCCCCAAACTGTTGCCACAAAGTTGGAAGCACAGAATCATCTACAATGTAATTGTATGCTGTAGTGTTAAGATTTACCTTCACTGGAACTAAGGGGCCTAGCCCAAACCATGAGAAACAGCCACAGACCCTTATTCCTCCTCCACCAAACTTTACAGTTGGCACTGTGCATTCAGGCAGGTAGCGTTCTCCTCGCATCCGCCAAACCCAGATTTGTCCGTCGTACTGCCAGATGGTAAAGCGTAATTCATCACTCCAGAGAATGTGTTTCCACTGCTCCAGAGTCCAATGGCAGCGAGCTTTACACCACTCCAGCCGACGCTTGGCATTGCACATGGTGATCTTAGGCTTGTGTGCGGTTGCTCGGCCATGGAAACCCATTTCATGATGCTCCCGACAAACAGTTCTTGTGCTGACATTGCTTCCAGAGGCAGTTTGGAACTCGGTAGTGAGTGTTGCAACCGAGGACAGACAATTTTTACGCATTTCAGCACTCAGCAGTCCTTTTCTGTGCGCTTGTGTGGCCTCCCACTTCGCGGCTGAGCCGTTGTTGCTGGTTTGACTTATATATATTCCATTATGACAGTGTGATCAGTACTCAGGAGTGGGCTTCGCTGCTTGACAAGCCCATTTCATCAGTATTGCTGTTCCCCCAGAGAGAGATGCTCTGTCTATCTAACCCTCTCCACACGTGAACTCCCACTGAATCATCTCATTATTCACACGCTGTTACTGAGAATAGCAAAATGGAGTCAGCGGCAGCCTCCCTCAAAACAGAGGTTTAAGAACTGTCTCTGATGCGTATACTCTTGGTCTCTACTTTCAGCATACAGTCATTCTATCTGGTTCACTTTCCAAAACATACAAGGCAAGTGACAGAAATGCTGCAATATATATTTAAGGGTAGAACATTGATTTTGAGGGGTGCCCTAGAAGTAGTGGGCCTGAACAAAATAACTATTTTATGAAGCAGTTTTTTAAAAATGGAGGGGCCCACATTGATTTTAGTTGAGCTACTTACAGTATAGGGGTGTTCTGCTTATGAAACTGTCCAGAACCTAAAGTAGGGAACCGCTGTCATCCTAACACTGCACTCATGTAAAGAGATTGTGTACTGAGCTGTGGATAGCAAACAGAAATGCTGATGTCTTGAATGTACCTCCCCTAAGCAAACTTGGACAGACACATTGACCGCTGTGCTCAGAAACAGGGGGGCTGAGCAACAGCAAAATCTAAATCCAATAAAAACAACCCAACCACCCACTCTGAATGTGGTGCTCTTGCACGCAGGCCTGATGTAAATTATGCTTGTGCACACCTGTGCACGCTGTCAAGCTTATTCAAATGGACCATCCACTTTTGTTGATATCTTGTGTGTGTGTGTGTATATTTGTGTGTGTTGGAGTGTCAGTGTAGAATGTGTGAGTGTGTGGGTAGAGTCCAGTGAGTGTGCAGAGCCGGTGCAAGTCAGTGTCAGTGTGTGTGTGTGTGTGTGTGTGTGTGTGTTTAGTTGGCTAAGGTTAGTGTCTATTTTAAAATTAACTGTAAAAGAGAAAACAGAGTCTGTTGAGAATGCCTCTGTTTTTACATTGAGGTTAACCCATCCTCCATTGTAAAATCTAGATGCCTGTTAAGTATCAGTAATCCACATTTCTTAACTTACATTGGTGCTTTTACACACCAGTGGCGGTCAGTGCCGTTTAAGATGAGGGGCGATTATTTTGTCATGAGCATGGCCTTATTTCTGTTACTGCATATTGGATGACTCTCATTCATATTCCATTCACCCAGTTCATTGTAACAGCGATAGGTTTAGACTACTACATGATACTTACATTTTCCCTATACCCATCATGAGGTTGCTACAACCTAGCCTATGAATGAAAGTTTACAACGTAGGTGCACACGTCGAGAGACAAATTTGAGGTGACAGACAGTGAGTCATGGACAGAGAGTGAAATTCAATACCGCCTTACGCACTCTTGCCTGCAGTTGCAAACAAGAGTTTATATTGGACAAATTAGGGTATGTTTAGCCCCGTTTTGTTCCGTTTGCTTCCGTTTTTAAGAAGCGTTTTTCAACAGAATCGGCGGAATGAATACACTCCTGATCACGCGTAAACACAATTCACTTTCATAGCAGCCACGTTGTATTCTTTCTCGCATTTTTGTGCTCTCTTCCCTTCGCTTGTGGACTTCAATGCACAACACATCAGCTGTATGTGACCAGGAGAAAAAACCTTTCCAAACCAAACCGCTACACACAGCCTACATTGTTGTCACCATATTCGCTAAAGTAACGTCATAGTCAGCATAGCTAATAGCACTAACGCGTTAGTAAACCCGCTACAGTCATGCAGTAATGTTACAGTGTACAGTCAGTAAGCAGTTACACTGGCGGGCCCCGGTGGCAATAAATTAGTAATACCAAAAGCTTGGAAGAGTTCCAGTGTTGTTGGAAAGTCATAGCCAGCTAGCTAACATAGCATCCTCTGTTTGAGCAGGGTGTTTCAGTATGCTAAACTAGCTAGCTGCATTTGCTAGCTAAGTAAGTGAAACTGAAAGTGAAAAAAATGACAATCTCTATTTCTCTCTTGCTTCTCATTCATTTTGGAAGATATTAATTTGTTCAAAACTGTGCAATTATTGTCTTTCTCTTTGAGTCAACTACTCACCACATTTTATACACTGCAGTGCTAGCTAGCTGTAGCTTTCAGTACTAGATTAATTATCTGATCCTTTGGTTGGGTGGACAACATGTCAGTTCATGCTGCAAGAGCTCTGATAGGCTGGAGGATGTCCTCCGGAAGTTGTCATAATTACCGTGTAAGTCTATGGAAGGGTGTGAGAACCATGAACCTCCTAGGTTTTGTATTGAAGTCAATGTACCAAGAGGAGGACGAAAGCTAGCTGTCCTCCGGCTACACCATGGTGCCACCCTACAGAGTGCTGTTGAGGCTACTGTAGACCTTCTTTGCAAAGTAGTGTGTTTTAATCAATTATTTGGTGACGTGATTATATTTAGTATAGTTTTATCTAAAAAGGATAACCTTTTAAATGTTTTACAATTTACACTACCGTTCAAAAGTTTGGGGTCACTTAGAAATGACCCTGTTTTCGAAAGAAAGCAAAAAAAATGTGTCCATTTAAAATAACATCAAATTGATCAGAAATACAGTGTAGACATTGTTAATGTTGTAAATGGCTATTGTAGCTGGAAATGGCTGATTTTTTTATGGAATATCTACATAGGCGTACAGAGGCCCATTATCAGCAACCATCAGTCCTGTGTTCCAATGGCACGTTGTGTTGTGAAGAGGTGACTCCGGGATGCTGACCTTCTAGGCAGAGTTGCAAAGAAAAAGCCATATCTCAGACTGGCCAATAAAAATAAAAGATTAAGATCGGCAGTCTGAGATATGGCTTTTTCTTTGCAACTCTGCCTAGAAGGTCAGCATCCCGGAGTCGCCTCTTCACTGTTGATGTTGAGACTGGTGTTTTGCGAGTACTATTTAATGAAGTAGTGGTCCTCTGTAGCTCAGCTGGTAGAGCACGGCGCTTGTAACGCCAAGGTAGTGGGTTCGATCCCCGGGACCACCCATACACAAAAATGTATGCACGCATGACTGTAAGTCGCTTTGGATAAAAGCGTCTGCTAAATGGCATATTATTATTATTATTATTATTATTATTAAGCTGCCAGTTGAGGACCTGTGAGGCATCTGTTTCTCAAACTAGACACACTAATGTATTTGTCCTCTTGCTCAGTTGTGCACCGGGGCCTCCCACTCCTCTTTCTATTCTGGTTAGAGCCAGTTTGCGCTGTTCTGTGAAGGGAGTAGTACACAGCGTTGTACGAGATCTTCAGTTTTTTGCCAATTTCTCGCATGGAATAGCCTTCATTTCTCAGAACAAGAATAGACTGACGAGTTTCAGAAGAAAGTTATTTGTTTCTGGCCATTTTGAGCCTGTATTCGAACCCACAATTGCTGATGCTCCAGATACTCAACTAGTCTCAAGAAGGCCAGTTTTATTGCTTCTTTAATCAGCACAACCGTTTTCAGCTGTGCTAACATAATTGCAAAAGGGTTTTCTAATGATCAATTAGCCTTTTAAAATGATAAACTTGGATTAGCAAACACAACGTGCCATTGGAACACAGGACTGATGGTTGCTGATAATGGGCCTCTGTACGCCTATGTAGATATTCCATTAAAAATCAGCAGTTTCCTGCTACAATAGCCATTTACAACATTAACAATGTCTACACCGTATTTCTGATCAATTTGATGTTATTTTAATTGACACATTTTTTTGTTTTCGTTCGAAAACAAGGACATTTCTAAGTGACCCCAAACTTTTGAACTGTAGTGTTAATTTTATTAAATTCACTGAGGAGGATGGTCCTCCCCTTCCTTCTCTGAGGAGCCTCCACTGACACACACATTTCACTTCTTGCTCCTGAACACCATTTCTGTGACACCAAAAAGCAGAGCAGTCCCCTATTATCAGTCCCAATGTTCTCTCACTACAAAGCATGGATTACTCCAGCCTAACTTCACACTATGAAGAAACCAATTTGTCGTTGAAGTGGGGAGCAGTGACCCGCTCGCTGAGTGACCCAGCCCCCAAATTTGGGAGGTAAAATAGATCAGAGAGGAGCCTGGACAGTGTTCTGTGTTGTCATGCAAATTATTGGTTATTTCATAAATTAACCCTAGTGTTTCCTGACATCATTCGCCTTTGAGGCGGAGCTGAAAGTGATGCAGAGATCAATTTCAGGGGTGGCAAGAGATTTGCCCCCCTTCTCACTTCCAACACATATGCATGTACGCATGCAGGCACAAGCACAAGCACACACACACACACCGTCAGTGTCCCCCTTCAATAGGCATTTCTCTTTGATAATGTAATCCCTTGTAATGACAGAGTATCATCCTGCTAAATGATCAAAAGACCTCAAAATACCATTCAAAAAGACTCTGTCTTCTTCACTGTTAGGGATGACAAGTCATTGAAGAAATTATATGTTGGTCTCTAACATATATAATGTAACTTGTCTTTTTCTCAAATTTCAGGCTGATGAAACTTCATGTGAAGTAATTGATTGATTTGTTTCTGTCAGGTGGAGCTGACGGGTAACAGTATATTTGAGTACATCCACCCATCAGACCATGATGAGATGACAGCCGTGCTCAGTGCCCATCAGCCCCTCCATCATCACTTCCTGCAAGGTGCCTAACATGCTTGATTTATTCACTAACCTTTTATTTTTTCTCTTTCTCATTTTTTCTCCCTCTATTTCTGTCTTTCTTATTCTTTCTGTCTCTGTCTTTCTTTCTCTCGCTTTTTCTCTCCTTTTCACCTATTTCTCTCCTTTTCACCTTTTTCTCCCTTCCCTTTCCCTTTCTACTTCCTTTCTTCTCTCTCTCTCCGAACCAACAGTCAGTTGATCACGATTTTCCCTCATGCAAAATGTACTCAACTCTCTGTATGTTTATAAGCAACAGTGTTGCTACTTCAATGTCTACCTCTTCCGTAAGAAGGAAGGCAGCTATAACAACATAGTACTTGTGTACAAAGTACAATGTGTAGCACCATGATACATAATACAAGGCAATACCCAGGCAGCCACTCTGCTCAGAGCAGCAGGCAGGTTTTCATTATCTTCTTCTAGGAGCAGCATGTTAAGCCTTACGTGATAACAGTACTCGACATGCTGTGGAGTACCGTCTTTGGGGGAGTTTAATAAGACCCTCCCCCCCACACACACACACACACACGCACGCACGCACGCACGCACACACACACACACACACACTTGGGCTAACCACATCCACATCTGCTGCTTTATTTGGTATTTGGTATTTATTAGGATCCCCATTAGCTGTTGCGAAAGCAGCAGTTACTCTTCCTGGGGTCCACACAAAACATGAAACATGTGCTTATAGTCACTCTCCTCTCTCTCTCTGTGTGTGTGTGTGTGTGTGTGTGTGTGTGTGTGTGTGTGTGTGTGTGTGTGTGTGTGTGTGTGTGTGTGTGTGTGTGTGTGTGTGTGTGTGTGTGTGTGTGTGTGTGTGTGTGTGTGTGTGTGTGTGTGTGTGTGTGCGTTATAGAGTACGAAATTGAGCGCTCTTTTTTCCTGAGGATGAAGTGTGTGTTGGCCAAGCGTAATGCAGGACTGACTTGTGGAGGATATAAGGTACTACTATAATGAAATTAAATATTTGAAATCACATTTTTTGGTTACTGTATTCCATGATAATCTGTGTCTCTGGAAGTAGTAAACATTTCATGAATATCAATATAAGAGAGAAAGTAGCTAATTCAAATTAAACACCTACAATTGAAATGCATCAGTTCAAAACAAATATTTATTATATTTCTACTATTTTGAGATGATTATTTTTCTGTTCTATTGAGGCTACAATGTTATTATAGTGTTAATAGTGTTAACAGGTTATTTGAAACTGCATATTGTTTGTCTGAGAATCTCAGCAGCTGCAGCATTTCCACTTGACTCACTCAAATCTCCAACAACAACTACCTCTTCTAAAACACAGTCCACACAGTCCACAGTCGTTCCTCCACCATCCTCCTCTCTGGATGCAACGGCTATATTCTTCACTCCCTACTTCTTCCCTCTCTTCCCCTCTTCCCCTATAATATAAATCACCTAGCAGATTGCAATTGAGATCTGTTGTAAATTTACATTGGCAATAAACAAGCCGCTTATGTTAAGTAGTAGAATAAATCATCTGTGTGAACTGGGAGACCGCTACTGAATGGCCGGACGAGGCCCGCGCAGGCTTAGGTAAACAGGAAGTGAAGAAGATAAATAGCGGCATTAGCATCTAGGCACGTGGCTGTTCCAGGGATGGAGGGCTGGAGGGGAGCAGTGGAGGAGGGGGGGATGGAGAGGGGCACTTAGTGGGGTGCAGGCTGAGGGTTGAGCCTGCTCTTGCTTTTGCGGAGTGAGTGAGAGTAAGTTTGCTGCATTACCAACAATGTTGTATCTCAATCTACTGTATCTATCTCTCGGATCCACCTAAATGTGGACACAAAACCACATTCAGGACACATAAGGCAAGGTGTAAAGCCTCTCTGTCTAGCTATATCTATGTATGTATCTGTATCTATCTCTATATTGCTGTGTAAAGCCCCTCTCATTTCTCTGCTCCCCAGGTGATCCACTGCAGTGGCTATTTGAAGATCCGTCAGTACGTGATGGGCATGGCGCTGTTTGACTCGTGTTATCAGATCGTGGGTCTGGTGGCGGTGGGCCACTCCCTGCCTCCCAGTGGTATCACAGAGATCAAGCTCCATAGCAACATGTTCATGTTTAGGGCCAGCCTGGACCTCAAGCTCATCTTCCTGGACTCCAGGTATGGGAGGGAGGGAGGGAGGGAGGGAGGGAGGGAGGGAGGGAGGGAGGGGAAAAAATATACACTGTATGTAAAATGAGACATAAAACATTTAATTAAAAGAAAAAGACAAACATAACAAAGGATCTGAAAATCATGATTTAAAATGTTTTATTTTTGACTCCTGACCTCTGGTTTCAAGGGTGGCTGAGTTGACGGGATACGAACCCCAGGACCTGATCGAGAAGACACTATACCACCACGTGCACGGCTGTGACGTATTCCATCTACGCTTCGCTCACCACCTCTGTGAGTCAGTCCCCCTCTGTGGCCACATTGTGACACTTCTAGCTAAACAACCCACACTCTCCTTGAGAGGGCTAGGGTTTCTATAAGTGGCAACTGTGGAGTTTCTCACAGAATATGCTTGCAGAGGAGAATAAAAATGATACAGTAATCATGATTCAAGGTATTCCTGAGTATGTCAATGGAACTGAGCCTTTTGCAGTCACTCTCTCCCAAGCATTCTGTCTGCATTCTATAGCTACAGTTGAAGTCGGAAGTTTACATACACCTTAGCCAAATACATTTAAACTCAGTTTTTCACAATTCCTGACATAAAAATTCCCTGTCTTAGGTCAGTTAGGATCACCACTTTATTTTAAGAATGTGAAATGTGACAATAATAGTAGAGAGAATTATTTATTTCAGCTTTTATTTCTTTCATCACGTTCCCAGTGGGTCAGAAGTTTGCATACACTCAATTAGTATTTGGTAGCATTGCCTTTAAATTGTTTAACTTGGGTCAAACGTTTCGGGTAGCCTTCCACAAGCTTCCCACAATAAGTTGGGTGAATTTTGGCCCATTCCTCCTGACAGAGCTGGTGTAACAGAGTCAGGTTTGTAGGCCTCCTTGCTCGCACACGCTTTTCAGTTCTGCCCACACATTTGCTATAGGATTGAGGTCAGGGCTTTGTGATGGCCATTCCAATACCTTGACTTTGTTGTCCTTAAGCCATTTTGCCACAACTTTGGAAGTATGCTTGGGGTCATTGTCCATTTGGAAGGCCCATTTGCGACCAAGCTTTTACTTCCTGACTGATGTCTTGAGATGTTGCTTCAATATATCCACATAATTTTCCTTCCTCATGATGTCATCTATTTTGTGAAGTGCACCAGTCCCTCCTGCAGCAAAGCACCCCCACAGCATGATGCTGCCACCCCCGTGCTTCACGGTTGGGATGGTGTTCTTCGGCTTGCAAGCAACTCCCTTTTTCCTCCAAACATAACGATGGTCATTATGGCCAAACAGTTCTATTTTTGTTTCATCAGACCAGAGGACATTTCTCCAAAAAGTACGATCTTTGTCCCCATGTGCAGTTGCAAACCGTAGTCTGGCTTTTTTATAGCGGTTTTGGAGCAGTGGCTTCTTCCTTGCTGAGCGGCCTTTCAGGTTATGTCGATATAGGACTCGTTTTACTGTGGATATAGATACTTTTGTACCTATTTCCTCCAGCATCTTCACAAGGTCCTTTGCTGTTATCCTGGGATTGATTTGCACTTTTCGCATCGTATTTAAACTTCTGACCAACTAGAATTGTGATACAGTGAAATATAAGTGAAATAATCTGTCTGTAAACAATTGTTGGAAAAATTACTTGTGTCATGCACAAAGTAGATGGCCTAACCGACTTTCCAAAACTATAGTTTGTTGACAAGAAATTTGTGGAGTGGTTGAAAAACAAGTTTTAATGACTCCAACCTAAGTGTATGTAAACCTCTGACTTCAACTGTATGTGCACTTCTCTTTCTCTCCCTCAATCTTTTATTCAGGCAAAGTGCAGTCTGTGATTTGATCTCTCACCCCCATCGTTCTCTCTCACCCCTCCCTCTTCTCTCTCACCCCTCCCTATTCTGCAGTGTTGGTGAAAGGGCAGGTCACCACTAAGTACTATCGTATGTTGTCCAAGCACGGGGGCTGGGTGTGGGTGCAGAGCTACGCCACCATCGTCCACAACAGCCGCTCCTCCAGACCCCACTGCATCGTCAGCATCAACTATGTTCTGACGTGAGTCAACACTTTCACTTTTCGACTTGAGTGATGCTGGGACAGTTGAATCACGACCTAAAAAACGTCCATTTAATAGTCTTGGACATTTTGCGGCAGAAAGTCTGGGTTTGAAACACAAGCTAATTTGTAAGGTGGTGCACCCGGTGTGTGTGTGTGTGTGTGTGTGTGTGTGTGTTATGCTTATCCAAGCTGTTCTATGCTGTATGTATATGTCTCGCCACAGGGACGTGGAGTATAAAGACATGCAGCTGTCTCAGGAGCAGAGTCGAGCGGCCAAATCCAGCTTGGCCTTTAAGAGTGGCCCGGCCTCCTTTCAGGACCCCCGCAAACAACTTAAAACCAAAGCAGTCAAGATCAAGAGCAAACTCAAAACAGCCCCCTACCCTCAGGTACTAAAGACTACTGCTCCTCACACCGAGTTACTAATACAGTTCATATGCACATACAGTAGCCGACATACCTGTACAATGTACATTCACATGTACTAAGATATTAGGATGAATTGGTTTTGCCAGCTTGGAAAAAGAGGAGACACTATTCACAATCAGGAACTTTCCTCTTGAAAATTCATGAAATATTCTGTTCAGTGTTATCCCAAAAATATAACAAAGTGACTTGATTCTTTGTCATAGCTCAACAAATGAGCTGTACTCAACACTGTCTTCATTGCCTGTCTTTGATAGAAAAGAACAACACCACCATAACCTGTTGTCTATTGCCTCCACCTCCAGCCCAACAGCACCTACCACCCAAACAAGCTGGACTGCTCCCCCCAAGGAGAGGGCTGGAAGGAGAGCCCCCCCTACCCTATGACCCCCTGCCAGGGGCAGAGCTCTGGCCCCTCTGGAGGCCCAGAGGCTGGAGAGGTCCTGTGTAGCATCAGCGCCCCGTATGGCCTCTCCTTCCCCTACCCATATGGACACCTACCCCACACGGACTCCCAGAGGAGGTTGCGACCCACCCAGGGTTCCTCTTCCGCCTCACCTTCCCCCAGCCTGGCCGCCCAGCAGCTGCTCAGCTCCCTGCAGGGTCGAGGGGGCGAGGGGCGCTGGAGCTGTGCCAACGCCAAAACCCACCCTGGTCACACCCTGAGGCCCTCTGCTGCATCATGTGCCATCACCACTGCCACTGCAGCAGCATATTCCGGTATGGCTCTGGGTCAAAAGCATGGGGAAACGCAAGCTTCCAATCAGCGCTGAGGAACGCAGAGCTCTTTCTACATGCTTTTAAATCAGTTTACACTAGCATTGCTACATTTAACCAGAAATGCTACACTGTAACTGAAAACTATAATTTATATGGTAATTTGGGGTATTATCAACAGTCAAACACTGAGAAACATTTTACTGCAGCATACTCTAAATGATGGTGCATTCTGGGAACATTTGTGGGCAGGGAAAGAATTGCTATATTTCAAATGGTACTGTAATTCAATCTCACAGAATACAGAAACCTTTTGACCACTAGTGGATACATGGTATTGTTTCTGGCTCATTAACATATTTTGAGGTCTGCCTTGTAAGAGGCTGTATTTGTTGCACCATTACTGAAAGTGCTGTACCAATTGAATTGCTATGTGGTAGTAGTGCCCCATCATTTTAAAATGTATAGGGGACAGATTGGTGTGGCAGCAAGTCTTAAACCAGCGACTAACCCAACTTCTAGAGGCGTCTGGCTATATCCTCTAACTGTAATGAATGGCTGCTAATTCTATTTTAGCAACATTCAGTCAAACAGCTAAAGAATCAGTCATTTTACTTGTACTTCACGACTTGCCATTAGCAGGGTTGTAACGTTTTTTAGCTTACAGCTGTTTAAGACCTCGTCAAGTAATGCCACTGTAAAACCCCAACGTAGTGTTTTAGCTCAGTTTCACTGTAGCATTTTAGTCTGAATCTCACCGTAGCATTTCATTTCTTTACAGGCCCTACGGTGAGCAGGAGGTATCCCCCCAGCGAACCCCTCCATGACGGCTTCTCCAGCTGCGTGACCCTGCGCTCTAACAGCAGGTTCAAGGACGAGCCCTATGAGCATCACACGCTTGGCCAGAGGAAGACCACAGAGGACCGCCTGCACTCCCAGTCACAGGCCACGAAAGAGGACAGCAAGCTGCCGTTCAACCGAGACCACCTCCACAAGGCCTCAGAGGGAGGTGGTTGCATAGTAGGGGAGAAGCCTTTGTCCTGTCCCATGCTGAATAGCTCTGTGCTGGGGAAGGCAAGCTGTAAGCAGTCCCGGTCCCTCCACGGCCTGGTCCAGCCCTTCCCCATGCAGGTGGTGCTGGAGCAGCGCAGGAGGCTGTGTATGATGGAGTCCCCCTACAGCCACAGTGCCACCGGCCCCTTGGAGCACACGGACTGCAATGGAGAGCGGAGGACCCCCAAGCTACTGGAGGCTGAGGCGGTGGAGGAGGAGAGGAGGATGTGGATGGGGGTAGGAGTTGAAGTTGGGGTTGGGATGGGGGTGGGAGTTGGGGCAGGCCTGCCAGCCCAGGCGCCGTACGTGTCTTTGAACCTCCACCACGTCTTGGCCAAACACAGCTCCTTCCAGGCCCCGCCCTACGCTGCCCTCGGCCATTTGACGGACAGTTACGGTTACCGCGGCGATGAAATGGGTTCTTATGGCTACAAGAGCCAAAGCCCCGCCTCTAGCCCCTCCCCTGAGACTCACAGGGAGATCCCTCATTACATCGGCACGTCCGTCATCATCACCAACGAGAGGTGACACAGGCCGGGGTTGAAGGTCAAGAAGGGACAGACACCCTGAGGCTTCAGCCTTTTTGGTCATAAGTCAAGTCACTTTCTGGGGACCCTGTCTGGTTAAGACCTCAACATGGCTCTCCATTTCTGTTTTCCCCGATGCTTTCTACACAGATTAACCAATGCCAGACTCCTGTAAGGAGCAGCCAGTAATTTCAGGTTTCTTGAATATATTATATTTTTGGCATACTGTTTAGCCAATAGCATATGTAATGCATTGTCACGTTCTAGTTCAAAGCCATTTCTTTTGATAAGACGTCAATCACCTTTGAGCCATACGGTACATCATTTGAGGTACAAATTGCCTGTGAAGAATACACCCCTCTAATGTTGTAACTCATAGAGGTACCAATCCTACAGACCTGAACAAGAAGAGACTATAGAATGGTCTAAAGCAGCATTTTGATTAAATGTAACATGGTTTCAACCCAATTTGCAAGCTAGTTCAAGTGCAAACTGTTTCCAATGCACTTTTTTTTAATGACAGTAACATAAAAAGGAGAACGTGTAAGTTATGCCAACAGAAAATAATAAATGCTGTCACTCCTTACCTTGTATAATGAACAGAAAAATTAGTCACAAAAGTATTGAATGTGAACACTGTCTTGCAAACAGGAATGAGGGTAAATATCCTTCACCCTCTTTTGAAGTTGGAATTAATTTGGTCTATTCTACCCATGGCAGAGATCGGAAACGTAATGTGTATATTTATTATTGTGCAACACATAGCAGCTTGCTTATTTATGAAGGAAACCAGGGTCTAACAAGTATAATGAGAAAAAATCAACTGCATTGGGGGAAAATAAATGAAATAAAACAAGGTAGTTTGCTTTCATTCTGAATAAACAATTCAAATGAAATGTCCTGCCAGACAGTCATTGTCCGTTTCTATTTTCAGCTCTTCTTTATTCCTCAGAATGCATCATGGATATCATCTGGTTATTGAAGAGGTCTATGGACATTGCTGTGATATCAATCACGTCATATGTCCGAATGAGGAACACTTTTATATAATAGTTACATAAATAACCTTCTTACTTTCTTTCTATGAGGTCATCTTGAAATACACCTTTTTGTCCTCCTGCCTGTATCCCATCAACATGGTCACATGGGCCCTCCAAATGTCTGTATGTGGGAGTGTGTTCTCCCAATTACTGCAAGGAACTATCCATACACCCCTCCACATTCCCCTTAGGGCACATATAGACGGCCAGGGAGATATTTAGACAAGCCCCAGTCACACAGCCAGGGGTCCACATCTACACAGTCCGATGACAGCCAAGGACCACTGGAGACACTCCATGTTAACATCTAAACTCAAACACAACTTAGCAGAAGCTCTGAAAGTATTAGGCACTTCCATAAAAAACTGTATTATTCTCATATTAGTGTTATGTACAGTATATCAACAATGGTCCCATGTTATTTCTAAAGCAACCTAAAAGAGCCACAGTGTAATTTGTGCTTTATGGATTTCAGAGGTCAGAAAATGTAAAATGTAACACCAAAAACCCATTACAGGTAACCATTGGGTATTTGCATGTTTCAAATAAAGCCTAAAAACATTCAAATGCAATAATGCACCTTCCACCAGTTTTCAAAGCCACTTCAAAGTTGATGTAAATACAGTATGTCTACTTCATATGCTTGTTTTCCCTGCTAGTCTTTTAGGTTTCATCACATGATGGGATATGAAATCAGTCAACTATTCCCTACCTAACCAGTACACATGGCAGAATGCTTGTAAAACAAAGTTCAGCACACATATTAGCACTCAGACAACCATTATTTTCTCAATCTTCCATCCTTCACTTCATTCTGTTTTCTATAACTTATAGAATATAGTTAGTGTAAACATAGAAGCCAAGGATTCCGATCTTACTACCCTTTAAAACGGCATGTCTAGATTTTCTTGAAGAAAAGCTCTGATATTTGAAGGTGAGCCAAAGGGCTTTGCTGTCTCTCTGGGGAGGCTGGATTGAGATGTGGTATTATGCAGCCAATATTAAAGAGGATAGATCCATTTTGACCCTTGAGACCTGCCACTGAAATTGTTTAATAGGATATTGAGGCGGCGCCATTTATGGATCCAGAGGTAAGCTATTTGCTTAATGAACTTTAGGTTTGAGAAACTCCGGAGTCTTTACAGCTGATGCTCCAGTGTACACCCGCACACCATCAGCTACATCAGCACGGTGCAGCTAAGACCTAAATCTCCATTGATCAAAATCGCTACATTGGAAGCCAGTTGTTTTCAACAGTGTTCAGAGGACCATGTTGTTTCCTCAAAAAGTAACAGTATTCATACAACCAGGCACTGTAAATACCTCAACATTGCATTGAATACATTCTATGTTAGCACACAGCTAAAACTTTGATGAAACCATATTCGGTACATTTACTAAAACCTGAAAAGGGGGGGAATGAGCTTGTAATGAGGTGAGGGCTGCGTCCAGTTTGTGGAGCTTGCGTGCATATTTTCACCTCATCTGGCAGAGACGAGTACAAGGCCTGAGGTGGGTGCTGAAGGCAAATTAGGTGTCATTTAGGAGCATTGGGATGAGCCCAACACAGTGGAGGAGCCCCCCCCCCCCCCCCACACCATCCCCACTGGCCACCTGCACCAAGGGGCTCTACCACACCTCATCCCTCCCCCACCGGGAGAGGGAGGGAATATGCTTCCCCACCCCCCTCTCCCACCGCTGGGCAAAGCTGGACTCAATCAACAGTGTCTTTCTCTTTAGGACAGTTCAAGGGGCATGGAGAAAGGAGAGCAGAGCAAAGAAAGCAATAGGAACCCTACCTCCCTTCGTTTAAGAGGCCCCTTCTTGTTGTCCAATGACAGGCCTTTAGATGGGAGATTGGGTTGTTGCAAACAGCATTATTTTGAAGCAGACTTGAAAGCCAATTCCGCTCTAGGCGCATTCGTTCATGTGTCTACACCTTTTGCCTAATACCCATGCAAAGGTATCATCATCTACACAGTATTGTAAGAGTAAGAACAATCCAAGTCCAGTTATCTCCATTTATTTCATTATAGGTTTTTAATAATAGCTCTTATTGGAATGACAAGATATATAATTGATATTTATATATAAGTTTACCAAACAGTTTTTTTTATCATACGACTGCAACCAGTATTCCTTTATCACATAATTACATAGTTATAGAGTGCTGATGTTTTACATCAATTGTGTGTTATCAAAATATACAGATCACCTCTTTATCTTACAAATATGTATCTTATGTTAGACATTGAGTATCAATTATAGTCTCTGAAACTTAAAGTAAGGAATACAATCCAGCATGCCTGTCCTAAAGAGTAACAAAAACAAGGTCTCAATCTAACCTCTAAAACATAAAACGCAAGGCTTAAAGTAAGTGATATGAACTTATAGTTCTTAAATTGATGGAGTTCTATGATAACACAAGTTAATACATGACTCAGTGCAACAGGCTTGGGTTATCCCGTAGCTCAGTAGCGACCAATGCTAAACAGTCCAGCAATTGGGATATGTGCCAGCCTTCGGGGCAATCTATCACAACATGTTTGCACTCAATTAATACATTTGCATCTAAGTGTGACCTCCCATGTCAATATAGCATCACAACGTCTTTACGCAAAGCAGATTTGGTACATTTCCAAGCGATAAGTTAAAGACGTGTTTTAACATGTTAATAGCCCTCGCGTCAACACCTCTGGAAAAAAATACTGTTGTCGACCTCTAGCACTTTCTCGAGAGCATTTGAGTGTTGTAACTAAAGATATTACATGGAATACTACATTACAAAAGGAAATAATCAGTGTTGACAATTTGACTTCACAACCTTTGCACAAAATGACTGGTAAATGATACCTAACCTATGCTATTGTACAATTTAATATATGCGAGTTCGGTGAATAACTCATTTTGTATTCTTCATAAACTACTGTATTTTAGAAATCCTGTAGCTGCCAACTATAATTTGATCATGTAATAAAGGTGTAATTGTCCGGGGCTACAACAAAAATGTGTGCTGTTGGGGGTACTCATGGACAGGAGTAATACATGAACTACTCAAGTAATTCCATTACCACCGCACTACACTAAACAGGCCAACTTTAAAAAGCTACCTAAATACCATGGGATGGCATCCTAACAAACATTTTCAGATGCTTTAGGCTCCCAATACGTTTCAGCCAATCTATCAAGTAAAATAAGAGAAAATTAGTATTTTTACTTGCAGATAGGTAATTGATAGATAGGTCAATTAGTTATTCTATCAAGTAAAAAACAAGAAAAAAAATGTAAGTTGTATTTTTCCCTTGCAGATTAGTTGTGTGAGATCTCACAAACAGTTAGAGTATCTCCAACTCAAGCTACATAGGAGCTGGCTAATTTTCTTTCATGATGCCCCTGGCTAAAATGCCCTTCAGGCAACCAGGTGGGGCTACTCTACAGGGATCCTTACAGGGTCCTAGCGTTGCTTGGTGACCACCAGGTTCCTCAGCATGTCGAAGGAGTTGCCGTCAGGCTGCACGGAGACCACGCCCTGCTCCTCGGAGCGCACCTGCAGGAAGCCGTTGTCGTCGAGGCCCACCACGACAGCCTGGGGGCCGTCCTCACTCCACAGACGCACCTGGGTCCCACTGAGACAGGACGGAGAGCACAGCAAGGTCAATGTAGTGTAAACACAATTCCCATGTTTACATGTTATGTCTGAAGCGTGAGAGATTTGTATTGTTGTGTCTGTGTGGGAAATAAGTTCCTCTTGAATGACAATTAATATTATGAGCTGAGTAGATTTTACAGGTAGCCTACCGAGTATAAAATAATATCCATCCAAGTTATCTTACCTGTGCACCCATCTCTTGTAGTAGAGGGGTAGGACGGCCTCTGACCCCCGTTCCTGGAAGTCAGAGATGAGCTGCTCCAGGGAGGTGAGGGTGCGGCCGATGAGCTGGGCTGAGCTAAGGGC